CGTTGCGCGGCGGGGTGCGCGGCTCGTCGCCGTGGGTGGCGACGGCGTCCGAGGGGTGCGGCGGCGGGAGGCCAGGAGCAGCGGCGTCGCCGGCCGGCGGCTCGTCGGGCGGCGCACCCTCGGAGACAAGGTAGACGTCGATGGGGCCCTGGGAGGACGAGAGGAACATGTTGAAGCGGCGCGAAGGCCACTCCATGCCCTCATCCGGGTCCGGCACTTCGAGCTTGGAGCCCGGCGGGGCCTTGATGGCGATGACGGTCTGGTCCTCAAAGTCGGGGAGAAGGCGGACGTCTGCGTGTGTGACGTACGCAGTCTTATCGTGAGCGGTACGCTCGACCAGGTCGCGGAGGATGTCCTGGACGCGGTGGATGTGCTGGGAGAGGATGGCGTCCGAGACCTCGAGGTCGTCGAGCTGGCTCTGCAGTGAGCTCAATTCCGACGAGGCGACCCCGGAGGAGGCGGCGGCGCGGGAGGCGCGGGAGCGGGAAGACCGGTGGTCGCCCGAGCCCGAGCCCGAGTCCGAGTCGAGAGTCGCGGTCGAGTTCCACTGGATCTGGTTCTTGGACTTTTTGACTAGGAGGCCGATGCCCTCGAGCACGTTGGTGATGTCGTAGATCCGGCGCTTCTTGACGTCGAGGATGCGGACGGCCTCGTTGAGGTCGAGCAAGCCGCCCTCGGCCGACCGGAGCAGGTCGCAAAACTCGCGGGTCAGGTTGCCGAGCGACGAGTTTGCGCGCCCGCCGCCACGAGCGGCCGACGACTTGGAGCCGCGGCTGGCGGAGCGCGGCGGTCCGGCCTGCGCCGACAGTGGCGCCGAGGCCGGCGTGCCGCGCGCCGCCGCTGCTGGAGCTGACATCGCCGCTGCTGGACTGGCTGCCGGAGAGCCGGGCCGCGCCGACGAGCGCTCCAAGGCCTCGTCGCCGGGCTCGACCCGCCGCCGGCTGCGCTTGGAGCGCTTGGACTTGCGGGCGGGCGCGTCGCGCGGTTCAGCGCCGCGCAGCTCCTGCGGCGGTGCCACCTCCATGCCCGGTGGCAGCCGCGGCAGCATGTCCTCCGCAAGCACTGTGCCGCCCTTGGCGCGCTTGCGCTTGCGCGTCGACGACGACGGCGACGCGGCGGCGAGCATGGCCAAGGAATCTGCAGTATTGGCTGGTGGCGCGAGGGGGGCGAGGGGGGGGCGGCGGTGGGGTGAGGGAGCGGGGGGGAAGACAAGACGCAAGGGGGGGAGAGGGGATGGAGAGGCGGGCAACGGGGAGGGGAAGGGCAGGCAGCAGGGGGAGGGAGGGAGGCGGGCATGGTGGCGGCAGGGGCGCAGGGAGTCGGCGGGCGAATGAGCCGCAGAGAGGGGAAAGAGCATTTTTTTGCGCAGGCGCGGGGAGGGCGACGGGGAGGGGGGCGTACCCATGGGAGACGGGCCCGGCGGGGGTCAGTCGGCGGGCACGAGGAGAAAGGTATTCACTGGGTCTCGCCGGGGTGTGGTGGCGGGGTGGACTGGGGACGGTGGTGGGGGTACAAGCGCGTGGAGAGTGGCTGCTTGCCGCGTGGCTGGCGAGGCGGGGTTGGCCCGGGCGTGCGGTGGGGGGCGACGAGCGACGAGCGACGAGCGGTGACCGACGGCCGGTGGCCGACGGGCGGGCGGCCAAGGACGAGGCCGAGGCCGAGGCCGTCGCCGACGGGCATTGGATACTTGTCGCGAGCGGAATGGACGAGGCCAGTGCGGTGCGTGCGACGGGCGGGGATGCCGAGGAGGCACCTGGTGGAGCCGCGGGTGAGGCTGGGGCTGTGGGCGGAACCGGGGCTGTCGTGGGTGCTGTGACGGGTGCTGAAGCGGGCGGACCAAACGGGGGCGCAGACGCCGGCGCGGCTACTAGCGCGGGTGCGGGTGCCGTGGTGGCGGGTGCCGTGGAGGGTGCTCCCGAGAGTGCTGCGCATGCTGGGGTTGCGGTCGGTGGTGCGGTCGAAAGTGCGGCGACTGCTGCGCCTGCAGCGGGCGGCGCTGCCGGGACTGCTGGTGGAGCGGGGATGGGCTTGCCAGCCGGAGCCAGCGGGCAGGGCAAGACGGAGCAGAGCGCGGCTGGAGGAGCGATGGTCGAGGAGGGAGTGCCTGTGCGCGGCGGAATGACCGGCGAGGGCGGCGCCGCGGCGCCGCGGCGGGCTGACGGCGGGAGCGGCGAGGGCGGAGGCGAGGGCGGCGAGGGACCGGCCGGCGCGGCGGCCAAGGCCAACGAGCCGTACGAGTGGATCATCCCGATGCTGGTTGTGGAACCGAATCCGCACGGTCCAGTGGCAATCGACACGGCCAAGCGCAAGACGGCGGGCCAGATCAAGGTCGAGGGCGAGGCCAAGTGTGCAGCGTGGTGCCGTCTCGGGTACCGGCTAGCGCGGGCGACGCATGGCGTGGCCAAGGGCTCGTGGTACTGCGAGCTGGCGGTGCTTGAGCCCAAAGCCGAGCACGTCCGCGAGGCGCCGCATCATCCGGGCGTCCGCGTTGGGTGGGCCAACCACCGAGCCGAGATCAACGCGCCGGTCGGCTACGACCGGTTCGGCTACGCGGTGCGGTCGCGCGACGGCGCCAAGTTCAACAAGGCCCGCGGCGAGGCGTATGGCAAGCCGTTTGGTCCCGGTGACGTCGTCGGCCTCGCCATCCACCTTCCGGAGGATTCCAAGCCGTACGAGCCGCCCGAGGTTCGCGAGCTCCGTGTCCGGTCGTGGACCGCGCCTAAGATGCCTAAGCCGCGCGAGCCCGAGCCGCATCCGGCCTCGTACATCGAGTATTTCCTCAACGGCGTCTCGCTGGGGAAGGCCTTTACCGACGTCCTCTCCACCACCTACTATCCTGCGGTCTCGCTGTACATGGGCGCGTCGGCAGAGTTCCGATTCCACCCCAACGCCTTTAGCCACACTCCGCCGGCAGGCTTTGCGCCGCTGTCGGAGCTCGAGACGGTGCGCCCGCCGACGCCCGAGCCTGAGCCCGAGCCGGCCGTCACCGACGCCGGAGCGCCGGTGGCTATGGACGCCACCGCGCCAGCTGAAGGTGGCGACGTTGACGTCGCGGTTCCGGCCAAGAAGCAAAAGCTGCTGGACGAGAGCGGCGCCGTGACCGCAACCACGACCGCCACTGCACCCGGCCACGATGATGAGTCTGGGCTGGCGGTGATGGAGACAACGCAATGAATGATTTGGGTGGAAGAAGGAGAGTGCACAGTGTGATCGCCACGGCGGGGCTACCTACCGCGGCGGCGGCGACGGCGACGGGGCGTCGAGGGAGATCGAGGCCGCAGACCGCGAGGTGAACATGTTGGCGAGGAGATCGGCGGCACCCGAGCTGGCGTTGCGGTACAGCCGCATGCGGAGTGGCATGACGCCCGGCGACGGCACGCCGTCCTCAGTCTCCTCGTCGAGCGAGGCGAGGACGGCAGCAGTGGTCTTGGGCGTCGACGGGCCGGCCGCACCCTCGCGTACAAACGCAGGGAGGAGTGCCGGGTTGAATGAGCAATCTTTGTGGGCGTGGGCGTCGAGGACGCCGGCCTTGCCGACCCACGCGCAGCCGTGCGAGTAGAAAGGGCAGACGGTGTCCTCATCGTCGATGACGTTGGCCACAATGAGATCGGCGTGCAAGTTGTCGGGCGTGAGCGCCGCGCGGTCCATCGGACACGACTCGGCGTGCTGGAGCCATGTGAGAATGCACGAGGTGCAAAAGGTGTGTCCACACGGCGCACGGAGTGGGCCCTGGAACACGTCGCAACAGATGGGGCATGTAAAGTGCTTGGCCACCCACTCGGCCCGCACAAACTTGCGCGGCAGCGCCGGGACGTCGTTCTCCGAGTCGGGTGGCAGCGGCTTGGCCTTTTTGCGTGCCGGCTCGCTCCGTTCACTCTGGCGCGTTGCGCGCGTCGTTCGCGTCCTTGTGTTGCGCGTCGCTCGTGTCCTTGTGGTGCGTGTCGCTGCCCGTCGCGAGCGGGTACTACGGGTCGGGCGCGACGGCTCGGCTAGCCCACTCCCGCTCCCAGACTCGATGGCGGTCAGGTCCACCACCTGTAGGCTTGAGCTGCCGCTTCCTGAGTTGATGAGCTCGTATGTAGCAGACTCACTCTGCCCGGCCCACGACGCCGACTCGGACTCGGCATCGAGCCACTCGTCGGGGGCGCTGACAATGGTCATTCGCGCCGCCGTCCGCTGACTTCGGCGTGGCATGGCTTCACGACAGAGGACGCAAGCACTTCGACGGACCACTCCAGTGGCTGCCTCTGTGCGCTGCAGAGACGAGTCTTGCCGGTGTCGCCGACTTGCCGACGAGTCGCACTAGCAGGCGAGACGAACTTGTAGGCGCGAAAGTTTGAACTGCGCTGAGAAGGAAAAGAAGAAAGGGTGAGGGGGGGGGCACACATCAAGTACGGGAGTGCGAGGAAGGGAAGAGAGAGGAGAAGAGCTGGAGGAAGGATATAGCATGACGGAGAGAGGGGATCAGAAGAGAATCGGAAGAGGGTCAGAGCATGTGGTAGGATGGCGTGTTGTCCAACGTGATGCCGGTGACATAGTTAAGATGGGGCGCTTTTTCTGTGATCGGCGAATCTGAGCTAGGGGAGTGGCCACACACCGAGAGATAAAGAGGTTGTGTGGGAAAGGAAGAGTGCCCCACCACCAAGTGTAGGCGCTCTGACTGTAGGAGGCACAGGTTGCTGATGTGGGACGTGGTACCGCTCAAGGCGATCATACCATGACTTTACAGTCTGCGGCGTCAAACAGGAACAGCTGGAATTAGATGGTGACGCGGGCACCGCCCTGCTGGAGCGAGGACTCGGCAGCGTTGAGGATGCTGACAACCTTGTGGCCAAAGTGGCCATCGGAGCGCATATCGGCGGACGGGGTGCGGATGGCGTTGACAAACTCGGTCATCTGGGCGCCGAGCGGCTCGACCTTGTCGATGTGCGGCATGAAGACGTCACCCTTGCGGGCGGAGAACATGTAGTCGGTAAAGTGGCCCGAGTCGACGACGTCGCCGGCCTCCTGGAGCTCGTCGGGGCCCTTGAAGAAGACCTTGACGGGGTGGTTGATGGCGGTGTCCTCAAAGACGACGCGGCCCTTGGAGCCAACGACGACGATCTCGCGCTCCTTGTTCGGGTCCATCCACGAGGCGTGGACGTGGGCGATGACCGGCGAGTCCTTGAAGCCCATGGTGACAAAGACGACGTCGGCGAGGTCCGAGCCCGGGAGGAGCGACGAGCCGGTGCACGAGACCCACTCGACGTCGGTGCCGGCGAGGAGGTAGAGGAAGACCGAGATGTCGTGGGTGGCGAGGTCCCACAGCGCCGAGACGTCCTGACGGACCGGGCCGAGGTTCGTCCGCTTGGCGTACACGTAGTGGGTGTCACCGACGTCGTGAGTGTCGACCATGGCCTTCATCTTGGCCACCGACGAGTTGAAGAGGAAGGTGTGCCCAACGAGGAGGCGGACCGAGTTGGCCTCGGCGGCCGCAACAAGCTCCTTGCACTCTTCCACGGAGACCGCAAGCGGCTTCTCCATGAGCACATGCTTGCCAGCGTTGAGAATCTGCATGCCAACCCCATGGTGGTACTCTGCGGGGTGTGGGTGGTGCGGGTGGTGAGTGAGTGGTGAGCAGTTGCCCGAGGAGAAAAAGGACGGAAAAACGAACGAGCAAATCGCTGCCCACAATCCACACCCTTGCTGGCCGCGGGGGTTGGCCGCCGGCATAGGCGCTATCCCTGGGGGAAGGGCTTGCTCCCACACGCAAGAACGGAAAGGGTACGGCTGCAGTAGCGTGCTCACGTACTCGCGGGAACGACGATGACCACAGCCTCGAGCTCGGGCACCGCAAGCAGGTCGTCAACAGACGAGAAGGCCGGAACGCCAGGGAAACGGGCCTTGGCCTTCTCCAGCGTCGGCGGGTGCATATCGCACATGCCGACAAGGTTCGTCAGCGGGTTCTCCGACGTGAGGCGAACGTAGTTCTTGCCCCAGTAGCCCACTCCGACCACGGCGATGTTCACAGGGTTCTCGGCCGCCATTGTTTTCTGGTTGATAAGTTGAGAGTTGCCCGCCGAGCCTGCTGTGCTGTTGCCAAGCCAAATTTCACGCCGCCCGCCCGCCCGCCCGTCCGCCCGTCCGCCCGAACGACCACCGGCCGGCAGAAGCCGCACCCATGTGTCTGTCTCTCTGTGTGTGATGCATCGGACCTGGTCATTCGCGCATTGCACGGGCAGCGATGTGATCGAACTCGTCGCCAGCCGTCATCAGCCTTTTCGCCAAGCCGTCGCCAGCTACAATTGCTCTGCCCACCTTCTTGCCACCTCCTCTTCCGTGACTCGATCTCTTTCGATGGCCCGGTGCAGGCTGTCCAAGTAGGCCGAGGAGACCGAGGAGACCCAGCAGATCGAGCCTGCCGAGCGCGTCCGACTCTTACGGTCCACTACCTGACTCACAGATCGGATCGGGATGCGGCTGCTGACGCACAACCTGATGACGTGCAACGTGGGTGCGTGCCAGACGGCTGGAACCAACTACCCGCTGCGCATTGTGGCCGAGGAGATGCAGCAGTCTGAGCGCGAGTTCTCGCCCGCCTTTGTCGCCCGTATGCTTGCCCGCCTGGACTGGTCGGGCATCACCGCGGCTGCCGAGGACGTACGTACTCCTGCCGGTGTCGGCAGACCGGGTGTGGGAGAAGGGCAGTGGCGGGAAGGGAGAAGAGAGGAAGGTGCCTATGCGTGCGTGTGTAAGAAGGGGGGGGGGCGAGTGAGCGTGTATGCGGGTATGAGGGAGCGTATGCATGTACCCCCTCCCCTGCCTCCACCCCATCCTGGCTTCCATCCATGGCTCCCGGGAGAGCGAAGGGGGGGGGGGGGGGGGGCGGAGGGACAGGGGCAAGGGGGGCTTGGCATGGCGATGGCAGAGGAGATGCGGTAGGAGTGACTCACCAGGGGGAGGTGCCTATGCGTGTAGCTGTCGTTCGAGGGCATTCCCGCCGAGATGCCCGAGGGTGCCGCCGACGACGACGAGTTTCTGCGCAAGCTGCACTCGCTGCTGCTGGAGATGGAGGTTGTTACCGGCTCGCTCGTCTGCCCGCACTGCGAGCGCAAGTACCCCATCGACAAGACCATTGTCAACATGGTCCTGCGTGAGGACGAGGTCTAGCCCGCGCTGATGCGGCTGCCGCGCCTTGCCCTGTAAACCCCTCCTCTCAGCCCACGCCCGTCACCTCTGCCTCCGCCTCCGCCTCCACCAACACACCTCTCTCCTCTCTCCTCTCGCTCACACCCTACCTACCATCATGGCATCGCCCTTCTCCACCACCGCCTCGGCCTCGTCCGCAGCGCTCATCCTCTGCGACTTCCAGGCTGGCATCATCGGCTCGGTTCTCGGCGAGGGCGAGCACGAAGCCGTGGCCAACGGGGCTAAGCTGCTGGCCAAGGCCCGCGCCGTCGGCATGCCGGTCTTCTACGTCGTCGTCCGCTTCCGCGAGGGCCACCCGGAAGTCGCCGCCTCCAACAAGATGTTCTCTGGCCTCGCCGCGCCCAAGGCCGACGGCTCGCCCAACACCTTCCTTGTCGAGTCGGACCCGTCGGCGGGCATTGTCGACGCCGTCGCCCCGCTCCCATCCGAGCCCGTTGTCGTCAAGCGCCGCGTCGGCGCCTTCTCCACCACAGACTTGCGGACCCTGCTCTCTGCAGCCGGCGTCGACTCGCTTGTCCTAGCCGGCTTCTCCACCTCGGGCGTCATTCTCTCCACCGTCCGCGCTGCCGCCGACATGGACTATCGCATCGTCGTCGCTGCCGACGCCTGCGGCGACCGCTCCGACACCGTCCACTCGGTCCTCTGTGACTCGGTCTTTGCACGTCAGGCCGACGTCGGCGTCACCGACGACGTCATCGCCTGGATGGACTCGCGCGCCGAGTAATCGTTCGTTTACACCACAGAAACACACGTACCAAAGCCCGTCTCCCCACCCTCCACCACCGTCTCCCTGCCCACCACGCATCTGCTCACGCCACGTTGTCAAGCGCAGCCTTGGCGTTCTCCATGTCCGCCAGAAAGCTGTAAAACTGCTCCAGCGTCAGCTCCATGTGCACGCACTCATCCAAGCCACCACGATTGAGCGTCAGCCGCAGCTGCAGGAACGATCGTCCCACCTTTTGCAGCTCCGACGACGATGCCGTGACTGCCCCCATCGCCCTCGCCCTCGTGATTGTGAGTATGGATGGCTCTTCCTCTTCTGCTCTCGCTCTCCTCCCCCTTTTCCATCTCTGCCGTACCGCCAAACTTCCAATCCATGTCGACAAGCTCGTTGACCGAGACCGAGGTGGCGACGACGGCGGCGGTGAGCGCGTCCTTGTGGGCGGTCCACAGGGCAGTGAGGACCTGGGCGAGCTCGGTGGGCAGGCCCAGGGCGGCAAGGTCGTCTGAGACCTGGGCGGCGGTGAGGTGGCCACGGACAGCACCACGGTAGAATACCCGCATCATGGTTGTGGCGTCGCGGACCGTTGCCTCGGGAAGGCCGAGTGAGCCAGCCAGCATGGCCGTGTCGCCCTTGAAGTCGATGCGCCCGGTGTGCGTGAGCCAGCCCACCACCACCCCGCCGAGGTCGCCGACATGCGCCTCGGACAGCGACGCCACAGTCTGCACAGACTGCAGGAACTCGGACGAGACCTCCTTTGCAAACGAGTATGTGCCCATCTTGTGCCCTGCCCCCGCTTCCTCTGGTATACTCGAGTGTTGTCCCCTCAAAACTCCCTCCGCTCCCCCCAACTCGCGTGACACTCTCTGGCGGTCATAGTCGGTCTCCTCCTGTAATCAGATGTTATCAAGCTCGAGCCCACCAGGCATGTCCAGAGCGATAAAGTCGGAAGCATCGGCTCGGCCGCCCTTGTCGGCCACAATCGACGTCGCAGTCTCAAACGCGTGGAGAAAGGCATGGGCGGCATTGTGCAGGCCGTCGTCGTCGGCCACGTCCATCATCTCGGTATCCATGGTCTTGGCAAAGAGGATCCGCCGGTGCGCCGCGGCGACGTACGTCGCGTTGCGCTCGCACCAAAGGAGGTACACATCTCTGCCAAAGCCGTGGCAAGCGACGGCGACGAGGCTGACGACGGCGACGATGGTGGCGACGGAAAACGCTGTCGTCGGCGTCCCGCTGCTGCGCTCAGCATACGCGCCGGTTCCGATGAGTAGAATGGCACAGAGGACGACCGAGAGCCGGACGTCGAGGTCGTTGTACAGCGGGAAGTAATACGGTTGGCGCGTGCCCACAAAGTACAGCGCGGCGACAAAGATGCCAAAGAGTAATGCAATCTGCACCAGCTGTTGCCGAGAGAGGAAGGTGGTGACCACCACAATCGCAAGTCGCTTGCACAGTGAGAGCACCTCGCCGTAGTAGTGGTGCCGCCGGAAGTTGCGGTAGAGCGAGCCAAACCGGAGCGTCGTCGTCAGCTCGAACAGCACCGTCCGCTTGCGAACGAGCATCATTGCAAAGTACAGCGGGAGGCCAAGGACAAAGCCAAAGATGGCAACGATGCCGAGCGGAAAGATGCGCCACCATTTAGCGTCGAAACACTTGACGCCAACGTCCGAGTCGAGGACAATTGAGCCGTCAGGAAGGATCACGCAGTCAAAGAGCGCCAGCGCGGCGCGCGCAATCGGAATGTAGAGCACCGGTGCGAGCGTAAAGATGACAGAGTCGACAAGCGACCGCAGAGGGATTTGTCCGGTCCCGCCAAACAGCGGGATGTGGACAAAGTGCGCTGCCAGCCGAAGCGCGAGATTGACCAAAAGTGCAATGCCGAGCATGGCGATCGGCGTCGCAACGGAGACCACATACAGCGTGTGATACGTTGCAACAGCGCATTCGGCCGCCACAAGCTGCGGGTTGACCGAAAATGCGCCAAAGATCGAGAGCACCGCGCTCGACGCCGAGTCCCACGCAAAGTTGGCCGAGCCGAGAATGTCCACAACCTGAAAGGCCACCACAATCATGCCGAGCGAGACCGGAAGCGTCCGCTGCCGAAAAAGGACCAGAAGGAGCTGTCGCGCACGCTGCTCCGACGTCACCGAGCCTGAGCATGCCAACGTGTACGCCTCGTTGACCTTGGTGACCCGCGTCACGGACCACGCCACAAACAATCCTCCCAGACTTGCCACTACAATCAGGATGGCCATGCCCGAGACAAAAACCGAGTTGGCAGACTTGGGGCACGTCGCACACTCGGTGTCCGACAACGAGTAGAAGCCATTCTGGCACGTCCCGCAGAGAAAGCCGGTGTATCCGTCGCGGCACCGGCCGTTGCCAAGACACCCGGCTCGGGTGCACTCCAGGAACCGGCCTGAGCCCGCCGGGTGTTCGTAGAAGCCCGGCAGTGACTGGGGATGACTCAGCCCACCGAGGCAAGTCGCGCCGCGCGGACAGCTCTCGCACGGCGCGTTGGCCCGATGCCCTCGACTCGTCAGCCACGTCCCGACCACACAGGTGCAGTTCCGCCAGCTCGACGACGCCTCGGGCGCGTTCGTCAGCCCCGGACACTGTGTGCACTCGGTCACCGTGCTCGTCACGTTGCGGCCGTACGTCCCCTCCTCGCATGCAACGCATTGCGAGCCGGCAACCTTAAAACCCGGCGGACAGTCGACGTCGACAACAACCGAAAATGGCGAGCCTGGAAGCTCCTCACCGAAGAGCGAGATATCCATCGAATACGCTTGCGCTACAGTGAACTGGACCGAAATGACCACCTGCGTCGGCGAGCCCGACACTATCAAAGTCATCAAATCGGTCACTGCAGGCGTAAACAAGACTGAGACTTGCGACGCAGGCATTGGATACATCGCAGGCGTTCCGTCGGCAAACGCCAGGTCCACCACAAACTCTGTCCGCTCAGCAGTTTGGCCGTGGAGAAAAGCCGCATTCAGCAACGCAGATTGGCTCGCTGCCGGCTGCTTGTTGAGAAACGACCCAATGTATCCGTTGTCTAGTTTTGTGCCAAACACAATGTCCAGCCCGCCGTGTCCATCAACGTCCACCAGGTTCATAGCGCTGACTGTTACGTCTTGCCGCACCACTGTCGAGCTCCACACTGAGCCATCGCCAGCCACGTTTTCAAGCCACGCCAGTCCGGTCGTCACTTCTCGGAAGAGGACCACGTCTGAATCGCCGTCACCGTCCACATCAGTCACCCTCAATCCGACACTGCCAAACGCCGACGGTTCGATCACCGACGTGTTCCACACGGTCGCGCTTCCATCAACGTTGGTGTGGAGGAGAATTTGGGCAGAGATGAAGCTACCCGAGACGAGGTCGACAAACCCATCAGCGTCCAGGTCTCCAGAGCTCACCGCAGTCACGAGGTTGAGACCGCTCGCCACGTTGACGCTAGTCCACGTGCTGCCATCGCCGTTGTTGAGCCAGGCCTGAACGCCATCGTCGGTGCCGAGAGCCGCAAACAAGTCCACGTCTCCATCATTGTTCAGGTCGGCCACTTTCAGCGCTGAAATGCGAATACTGGTCGAGACGGTGGCCTGGCTCCAGCTTGAGCCGCTACCAGCGTTAAAAAAGACAGCAGCGATCGGATCACTCGCCCCAGCCACCACGTCCAACTCTCCATCGCCGTCGATGTCCACCACCTCGAGCGCAACAGTCGCCCCAAAACTGGCGTTGAAGGTCTGGAGCGGCGAAAAGACAGACCCGAGATTCTCGAGCCATCCAACTGCCACGCCAATACCCACAACAAGGTCGACATCGCCATCTCCGTCCAAGTCTCCCGCCGCCACTCCCACTACGTTGTTGTCGCTCAGGATCGGCACCACCTCGGCCTGAGTCCCTGCATCCGCCAATCGGATCCACATCAGGCCTACCACCGACGCCACCACGACGTCGGTCACTCCATCGCCATCAACATCGGCGCCTACAATCGCCCGCGTACGACCGCCAAACCCGCTCGCTAGCTCCGCCTCTTTGGCGAACAACGTCGCTGGCGCAGATCCCGCCTCGACGCCTAGTGCTGCCAGTAGAACAACGGCAGTACAGACTGCCATCATGCATACTGATTTCTGTGTCATAGTTGCACCGCTTGCAACCTCTGTACTCTGTCGGATAAACGCACCTCACGGGTGAGTCCTCAGCAGCCGCATATTGGATTCAGCGTCTGCCAGCCGAAATTGACAGGGACCAACCGATCCACAGCCTTCCCCTCCCCCCCCCCTCCTTCCCCCTCCTCCCCCTCCTCCTCCCTCCCTTCTTCATTCCCCCCTCCTCTCTCCCCCCCCTCTCTCCCTTCCCTTCCCCTATTCCTCTTCTTTCCCCGTCCTCCAACTGCAGTACCACGTACACGTGAACAAGCGCCTCTCCCCCACGAGACAGTTGTGTCCAGCCCCCCCCCCCCCCTGCACCACGCAAATAGCATATTTATTCGTTGATGTCATCCACCCCTCCCCCCCCCCCCCCCTCCCCCCCTTCCCTGTCCAAAAATATTTTAACGTCAATACTTGCACCCCCCATCGCAAGTCGCGCATTGGCTCGCCAACTGTGCCCTCTCCACCACCGTTCTGCGACTCGGCTTGCCGACTTGACCCGCACCCTCTCACCGTCACCTTGGGCCGAGGAGATCTGAGCACACTCGTCTCTGCTATGGAGTCCGCCACACAGGTTGCGAGCCCCGGACGGAACGACGGCCGCCTCAAGCGGCGCAGGTCGGCGTTGTCGTTGGCCCCGCTTGGCGCCGCCCTGCCGGCCGGTCCTAGCGGCGGAGATGGTTCTGCAGCCACGGCGACCGCTGACTCGGGAGCCACGACCAGCACAGGGAAGGCCAACACCATGGCGCCGCAGCCCGACACGCTCGTTGTCGGCCTCTCGCCACTCTCGGCCGCCGACGCCGCCGCCAAGCTCCTCGGCCTACACAAGGTCTACCATACGGCGCCGGCCCACGCCGATGCCAACGACGACGCCACAGCCGCGGGTGCCGGACCTGCCAAGCGGCGCAAGTTCACGGCGCGGCCTGCGCTGCCGATCCAAGCGCGGGCGCTGGCGACCTCGACGTCGGACGAGGACTCGTCGGACGACGACGAGAATGTGTATGGGTCGGCGACGGCGGCGGCGGCGGCGGCGGCGGCGGCAGCGGAGATCCGCCCGGGCTCGCGCTCGTTTGCGCACTCGTCCGAGCCTCCACTGTTCGGGGTGAGCCTCGCAGCTGATACCCGGCACTCCAAGTCTGCGCTGCTGCAGCGGCCCAACGTGACGCTGCGTGAGGGCGTCGAGCTCTTGCCGCCTGCCGAGGTGCCCAAGTGCCAGCCCGAGGACGTCGCGGCGCTGCTGACCAAGCACGAGCGCAAGGCCGCTGCCAAGCTCTACCGCAAGCACATCCGCAAGATCCGTCGCCGGAACAACGATATGTCGGCCAAGTGTGCGTCGGCGCGCGCCGCCGCCGCTTCGGCCGCCGCTTCGGCCGCCGCTTCGGCCGCCGCTTCGGCCGCTGCAGTCGTCACCGCCTCCCGTGCCCTCGCTGATGAGGCCGCGGCGTCGACTGTCGACACCGCTACACTCAGCCGGGCCCGCAAGGCCTCGCGCGTTCGCCGCCGTGTCTCGTCTGACGACGACGAATCTGAGTCGGATGATGACGACGACGTTCCCGCCGCTGCCAAGCGCGGCAAGGGCCTCCACGGCGCTCGCACTGCCAGGCACCCCCCACTGCCTCGGCCGGCTCCGCCTCGGGCGGTCTTACCCCGGCCGCTGAAGCCGCCCTCGCCATGCCGCCTGTTCCGGTCCCGGCCTCGCCGCCGGCCTTTTGCGGCTCGCCGAGCGACGAGCCGCCGCTGCTCTTCACCCTCGACCAAGTCTCCAACCTCATGGACCGCATGCTCGCCGACTACGACTACAAGCTCCGGGCCCAGTATTCCGAGCTCGCCCACGACCGCATCCAGGAGCGCTTCCAGTTCCTCTCCGAGTTTAACCGCGAGCTGCACGTCAACCGCTACGCCTCCTCGGTCCCATCGTACATCAACTGATCGCCCCCCACCACCCTACCCTACCACCCATTTTACCAACCTGCCTCAATCTCTAAACCTCCACCATCCTCATCACCAGCTCCGTCTCCTCCCGCCCCGCCTCTACGCCTTCTTTGTCTCGTTCTACAAGGCCTACCCGCCAGTACAACTT